AGTTGGCCTTAAAGTGCTAAGTTTGACTTCGGTCAATATTTTGAGAAAACGACCCCGGAATAGAGTTTTGATGATTCCAACAGCTCTGTATGGTGATTTTGGACTTAGGAGCGTGTTCGGAATTTTATTTGGAAGCCCGTAGTTAAATTAGGCTTGAAATGGCTAAAAACAAGAATTTAAGTTTGGAAGTTTGACCGATGAGTTGACTTTTTGATACCGGAGTCGGAATCCAGTTCCGAAATTTTTCATAGCTCCGTTATGTCATTGATGACTTGTGTGTAAAATTTGAGGTCAATCGGAGTTGATTTGATAGGTTCCGACATCGAATGTAGAAGTTGAAAACTCTTATTTTCATTTAAGCTTGAATTGGGGTATGATTCGTGGTTTTAGCATTGTTTGATGTGATTTAGAGGTTCGACTAAGTTCGTATGATGTTTTAGGACTTGTTGGTATATTTTGTTGAGGTCCCGAGGGTCTCGGGTGAATTTCGGATGGTTAACGTAACAAAAATTGGAGTTAAAAAGCTGGTGCAATTTTTCCTCTTCTGTTGGACATTCTTGGTTGTGATCGAGCCCAGATATCGTGCCAGATATCGAGCCCAGGTATCGAGCCCAGGGTTGACGAGGTACAGGCTCGAGCTAGTGTATTGAAGCCATGATCGAAGGTCCAGCTTGAGGGCCATGATCGAAGGTCCAGCTCGAGGGCCATGATCGAAGGCAAGGCTCGAGGGCCAGGATCGAGACCCAAGATCGAGGGTCACAATCGAAGGCTCAAGCTCGATGCCATGATTGAGGCTATGATCGAAGGCCCAGCCTCGATGCCCTAATCGAGGCCATGACCGAGGTCCAGGCTTAAGCCTGTGATCGAAGCCGCGATCGAGGTCCAGTTCGAGGACCAGTTCCGAAGGCTGTTGGGCAGTTTTATAAAAAGAGGGCATTCGTCCCATTCGCCATTTTTAACAAATTGGAGCTTGAGCAGAGGCGATTTTTGATAGATTTTTAAGGAAAAGACATTGGGGTAAGTGATTCTAACTTGAATTTGGTCTATGAACATAAATATATCATTATTTTCACAATTAAATTAATATTTTGAGATTGAAATTTGGAAAAGTTTAAAAATCTCATAGAAACAAAATTTTGAGATTTCGGTATCGATTCGGAGTCGGATTTGAGTGAAACTGGTATGGTTGGACTCGTAATTGAATGAGTTATCGGATTTCATTACTTTTTCCGGATTTCGAGATATGGGCCCCGCGGGCAAATTTTTAATTTATTTCGGAATTTTTATTAAAAATATAGCATTTCCTTATAGAATTTATTTTTTATAATTTTTAGTGATTATATCGAATTATTTTTGGCTAGATTCGAGCCAGATAGAGTTGGATAATCGTGGAAAAGGCAAAATTGTGGATTAAATTGGAGCAAGACGAGGTAAGTCTCTTGTCTAATCTTGTGAGAGGAAAATTACCCCATAGGGATTAAATTGAATAATTGTTGCTAATTGCGGGGGCTACGTACGCACGAGGTGACGAGAGTCCGTGCGTAGCTAATATTAATGCTAAAGTCCGGGTAGTTTAAGACTCAAAGCATGAATTACTTGTGTGAATTAAAATATATATATATATATTGTGAATTGTTATGAAAAGTAGAAAAATATGAAATTTTCATATACTTAATTTTTATTTAAATCAATTAATTGTTAAAAAAAAATTGTTCTCCTCCCAAATTTATCTTATAATAAATATACTCTCCTTCCGGAGGCACATAAGAAAATGTCCTCCTTTTTTGTGGAGCGGGCCGAACGCCTCGGCAGGATAGATGCATCTATGGATCATGCCGCACATCCCTCGANCATCTCGTCTCTACCACTTCGAGATTAGGTTTGATACTTACTGGGTACACGTTGTTTACGTACTTATACTACATTTGCTGTACTTTTTGTGCAGAATCTGAGACAGGTACTAGTGGAGGACCTATCATCACATACCCACGTCATCCCGAGGCATAGTGGTGAGCTACCTTTCTGAGTCGTTCTGCAGCTACCAGTGTCTCTTCTTATATTTATATTCTGTCTATTTCATTTCAGACAGTATTTGGAGTTTTGTATAATCTACTAGATGCTCATGCACTTGTGACACCGGGTCTTGGCACACACATTAGTAGAAGTTGGTATTTTATTATTTTCTTAGAATAAAAGTTTAACCAATATACGATTGACTTAATAGTTGGCTTGCCTAGCTGTAGTGTTGGGCGCCATCACGACCTATAGGTGAAATTGGGTCGTGACAGCAACAAATATGCCAATCCAAAAATAATATACACTCCAGCAGACATCATGAGCAACATGAAACAACAGTATAGGATTAATATGAGTTACGTAAAAGCTTATAGAACAAAAGAAAGGGCTCTTGAACTGCTAAGAGGGATACAACGTGAATCTTATAGTAAACTGCTGGGTCACTTGTATATGATAAATATGACAAATCCTGGTTCTGTCACAATGTTACATAAATCAGAGGACGGACGCTTTATGTATGTTTTTGTCGCATTAAATGCATCAATCATAGGATGAAAATACTGCTCCCCTATTGTAGTGGTTGACGGGACATTCCTCAAATCATCACACAGGGGAACAATGTTAACAGCTAGCGCACAAAATGCGGCAGGTGAATATGTCGCAGACTTGTATAATAATTATATATGGTATAGATATTTCTTATCCGTGTATAACAAAAATAACATGTGGATGCTTTCTTATTTGCTTAACCAGGTAAAATTTTTCCACTAACATATGTTGTTGTCGATTCTGAAAATGATGCTTCCTAGGAATGGTTTTTTGAAATATTTAGACAGGCTTTTGGGAAAAGAGAAAGGATGTGCATCGTATCCGATCATCATACAGGCATATTTAGGGGTGCTTCAATTGTGTATCCAGAGGTATCTCACTATGTATGCATCTTTCATCTTTGGAATAACATAAAGAAGCAGTTCAAGAAGAACCATGACCGACTGAGAGAAGTATTTTTTGCAATGGCCAGAGCATATAAAATTGAAGATTTTAATCGCCTCATGCAAGATATGGACAACATTGATAAGAGGGTAAGGGGTTACTTGTTCCAAGTTGGTTTTGAAAAGTGGTCCATAGCGCATTCCACTGTTAATAGATCCATGGTGATGACTTCAAATATTGCCGAGTCACTAAATGCAAGAAACAGAGAGGCAAGAGAGCTACCAATCATGAGTTTGCTAGATTACATGATGAATTTGATTATGGAATGGAATAATACAAATAGAATGACTGCAATGAGTACATTTACTGGCCTAGGAAAAAAATATAACGAAGTACTGAAGGAAAATAGATATTTGTCGCAGAAGATGACGGTAAATATTCTTTTATCATGTCTTACTTCATACATTAATACTTGTCATATCCCTATTTTACTAATGATATCTATTTAAATTTAGGTGAGGCCTTCAACCGATTATATATATGTAGTAATAGATGCTGAACAAAGGCGGAACATAGTATGCTTGCAAAAAAAAGAATGCTCGTGTAAACGATTTCAAGTGGATGAGATTCCTTGTCCACATGCTATGGCAGTATTGGACTACACACACATAGAAGCACCTAAATATTATTCTGCCTATTATACCAACCAATAATTCAAGAAGACATATGAAGTGTCAGTTAATACATTTCCAGATGAAACTACATGGGACCTTCCAACAGAGGTGTTAGATAATGTGGTGCTACCACCAAGAGTAAAGGGCAAATCAGGAAGACCGACGAAGTCGCGATGCAAGGGACTTTATGAATATCTGTATACTGAAACAGTTACATGTGGACTGTGTGAAAAACAAGGACACAACAGAAGAACATGCAGGAATGCTCAAGACAACTAGTAGATGTTCATCAATGATTTAGTATTTTGTAACATTTTTCCTTGTGAATGTTACAATTAGAATAATGAAAAAATAATGAGATTTACAATCAGATTCTCTCTGATGTATGAATAAAGATGCTACTTTTTGTCGTAATGAAAGTATTGGTAGAAGTTTTATTCCAAATACTATTATGGATGTCATTATACAAAATAGATAAAAATATACAAAATATATACTAAAAAGAATAACACTTTACAAATAATATACAAAATAGACTGTAACTATACAATTTATATATAATATTTTATTCCTATACAAAAAATAAAAAAATAAACTGTCGCTATACAAAACATATACAAAATAGATGTCACTATACAAAAAATATACAAAAAAACTATCACTATACAAAAATTATACAAAATAGAATTTGTATATTTATACAAAAAAATAATATACAAAATAGACTGTAACTATATAATTTATATATAATATTTTATTCCAATACAAAAAATAAACTATCGCTATACAAAACATATACAAAATAGATGTCACTATACAAAAAATATACAAAAATGACTGTCACTATACAAAAAATATACAAAATAGAATAGATATCACTATACAAAAATATACAAAAATAAATGTCACTATACAAAAAATATACAAAATAGATGTCACTATACAAAACATATACAAAAGGACTTTTACTTTACAAAATTATACAAAATAGACTGTCGCTATACAATTTATATTTAGTTTAGCTGCCCCCCCTAAACTTCATTCATAAAACTTCCTATAACAACTTAGCAACACCAGCTAAATTTGCAAAACTTGTCGAAACAAATTATCTGTATAAATTACAAAACTAAAACTGTAAAAAAGTTAAAACTACACAAAATCTGAAACTTACATAATTTCACTATTAACTGAAAACAAACAAGTCGCAATTAAAAGTAATATTCAACATTAGTATTTCAAACATATTGTTCAAAAACATCCCAAACAAAAAGCATAAAACGTGATATAAGTATGCAACTGTATCCAATCATAAGACAATATCATAACCAAACTACTTCATCTTAAAACTACATGTGAATTTTCTGCTAAACTATCCCAAACTACTTTTTCTTGCCCTTCAACTTGCCCTTTTTCTTGATATCCTTCAAAGTCTCGTCATCACCAACGGCACGCGTCTTGCCCTTTTTCTTGTTATCTTTCAAAGCCTTGTCATCAATAACGGAATGTGACTTGACCTTTTTCTTGTTATCCTTCAAATCCTTGTCATCAACAACGAAATGCGACTTGCCCTTTTTCTTGTTATCCTTTTTGGCCAGATCCTTCAATCTACCAGTAGACTCGTCATCACTAAGTGCATTTGCTCTTTGTTTCTTCACTCCATAGTCCCATAGCAATATACCATATCGGTTCCGTATCCCATCAATATCAATAGCTTCAGGAATTCTACTGCCTTGAATGATGTACTCGGCAAATGCAGCAACATAAACACCACAGTCACTACATACAAGATCGCACATAAACGAATAAGTTAGTATAATATCCAAATAGGAATTCATGTACAAAAAAATAAATAATAATCAGAAATATTCAATAATAATTTACGTGTTATCTTGCGTTGGCAACCCATCAATGACATGAATCTCAAAAGAATCAATGGTGGGGATTCCCATAGGATTCTCCTTTGTGTCCCAAAAACCAATACGATGGAGGAAATATGGGAGCAACACTGAGTATGGCTCAATTGATCTCCGAACTGCACTATTCTGCCGCGCGCCACTCATGGAATCGTATATATAAATGCGTAGATCTTTGAATGACAGTCTCGCCAATATCCAGTGCCACTTATCAGACAGATTTATAGGGAAAAGGACTTCGTCAACAGTACACCAAGGAACATTACATCTTAAAAAATACCCAAGTATATACTCAACAATTGGATCTGTTTCAATAATCAAATTCATGTCTCTCTTTTTCTCCAAAAACTTCTTGTACAAATTCGAAATCAAGCAGTTAAACCAACAGTCGGTAGTTGTGAATCTTACTGGAACATCAACACCGTACTTCCCTTTCTTTCTCAAATAGTAAAAAATAATATCAATATGCTGAAATATGAAGAATAAACACACATTGTCAGAAAATTACAGTATGAGAAAACTAAAATGTATATTTTATATATAAACCGATTATACATTTTACAGAAGATACTGCAAATATACATAAAAAGATACTCTTCCAAGTTGATACTATATTTTCTATTGCCATTATTGTTCTAGTCCTTTCTTCCGCCTACTATCCATGGGTTACCGAGTCCCATTTCTCATTTTATTACAAATATAATCTATATGTAATTACAACATGGATAAAAGAAAAAAAATGGCATTTATGCTAACAAATTAACATCAATATGCTGAAAATATGAAGAACCATTATAACGTTGACTTACTGAATCATACAAGGGTAGGTCGGGATATGCAAATGTGAAGAACCATTTTTTCTCTCCAATATCATCAACTCCAAATTCAAAAAATTTATTTTGCTTATTGCTAATCTCTGTATAAATATCATCCCTGATGAATCAGGATAAAAAGATGTGGTTCATAACACGAAACACGAAAAATAAAATAAAATAAAATAAAAAGAAAAAGAAAAAACTGAAACATAAAACTTACGGTGCATTGGTCCTTAAGCCTCTATTGATGAAAGTATTCCACTTACACAATATTCTGAAATCAACAAGATTGTCAACATTTCCCTGAAAGGGACACTTTATAGTGAAGATGGACTTATTTGTCAAGATGGATTTCTTTGACTTAGTTGGCTTATCTTGAGCAACTTGGATGGTGCCACCAGAGTCAAATTTGTTCATGAATGGTGACTTCATGACCCCTGCTGGTTTTCTTTCTCTAGGGATCATTTCAGGTGTGTCATGATCAACAACAACTATACGATCCTTCCTGCATAGTAGCAATATTTGTATCCACTCCTAAACAATCACCATGTACAATATTTTGATTGAAATACTTTTGGGTGATTGCAGTTATTTGAGTCTCAGCATCACTAGTCCAACCATTGTCCTCACCAACTTCCTCACAACTGTTTTTACCAACAACTTGTACAGAATCCTCCGCCAACAACTTGTCACAAAACTTCTGGGTGATTATATTGATTTTAGGCTCGGCATCCTCAATCAAGGCTTCGTCATCACCAACTCCTTCACTACTTTTACCACACTCTCCATAACAATAACAGTTTGCTCTAGACTTACCTCAGTGTCAACATTTTTCTTTACAACTTCCTCACTGCCAATATTTCTCTCCATAACTTCCTCACTATCAAAATTATTCTTTGCAACTTCCTTATCGCTAAAATAATCTTTATGAATATCACCAGTATCATAATGGCCATGACTATCATGATGGTCGTCCTCTTTTCTATTACTCTGTTCAAAAAAAATATACAAAAAGTAGTAAAAATTATAGTAACAGGTAAAAATAACAAATAAGCATAGTCATAAGAAAACCTTTGAAGCATCGTGTTCACCTAGAGCTTTAAAAACTTTTTCAAATGAGGTAATCATCAACTGCTCCAAAGATGAAACCTTGTCGTTTACCTATAAAAGAAAAAGTTAAACCGAATATCAATTAAGTTGTCAGAACTGCTCAAAGTCAAAATAGAACTGTACCGTGTTGATTTCACTTCTCAGAAGTTTCAGCTCATTCTCGCTTGAACTCAAGTTACTGGGCTGTGGATCCGTATTCTCATTGTTAATAGGTTGTGATTCCAGCTTATTTTTGGGGTGCTTCTTAGCATTTCTTTTAGGTTGAGTGTTGAAATCATCAACACCATCTCTTGGATTAACTTCAGTATTTTGATCTTCATACACAGGGACAAAATCATGCAATTCAAGCCTTGTTTGTTCAACATTTGTTGGGGCAATATTACCAAACACCAACTACCAAAAAAAAAAAACTTAGCAATCATGAAATTTTTAAAAAATAAAAGACAACCAATATATTACTTGTAGAAACTACACATCATACAGTTAATTAATATTATGTATTAGAAATATATAATTTATGTATCAGAAATGCATAATTTATGTATCAAAAGTAGATTCATATGTATTGCTACAAAATGTTGTAAACTAAATAAAAATACTTTTTTACCTGCTCTTGACTTAAAAGAAAAAATTATTTTCTCAACCTCTTGAAGGTCACCTTCTTCTTTACAGTCCAGTTTATATGCGTGGCAGAAGATCTCCAATCCGGTAAGCGAGGTTTTTGTGAGTATAGGGGCAGCATTCATAAAACCAACACTGGAATGCCAAAGGCAAACCACCATATCGGTACATCTTTCTCCTGTTACGAACCTTATCCTTCATTGACTCCAATGTAGCATTAAAAACTACTTTTTCCCAAGGAAAAGTCTCAAAATCACCAGATTCGACCAACAGAAAATCATTCTTTGTTATCAAATCATCATTCGTAATAGAAAATAGAAAACTGTGAATGAAATATAATACTGCAATCTTTAATGCGTCCTCATCAGATTTCCACATCTTTTTTAAGAAACAGTCACTTAATAATTTCTTAGACACTTTCGACATGCTTGGAAAGTACAATTCCATCAACCAACTCGACTTGACAGATTCATAATCCTTATTGGGATCACCATTAGACTTTAAACCTGTGATAATACAAAACTCTGCAAGTTCAAAGCGCAACTTGGTGCTATTCACTTTAATCCATAACTCATCATCTTTAGGTGACACCACTTCCCTAAGCAATAGTGAATGGATAAGTTGGTTCTGTATAAAAAATTCGGGCAAGTTCACAAAATAACCAAAACATGTTCTTCTAAACATCTCAATCTGCTGATCATCTAAAGTATCTTTCAAATGTTTCACTATACTGCAGTTTGTATGCACACTGATACGAGTACTATAATGATCACTCAAAGAAACATAGTAATCCCAAAGCTGCAGACAACACAAAAATATAAATATATATAAGCTTCATAACAATCACAAATACGTACTTTAAACATTACTTATACACTTTGTGGATAGATGATACACTTTATATACAAATTGCATATTACTTATTGACTTGATACAAATTATATGCAATATGAAAAAGAATGATACATTTTATATTCAAATCTGGAACATAACTACTATATTGGATAAATTTTCTACATACTAAAATAAACTAAGCACACACAAGTCAGAGTTATATCATTAGAAAATACCTTCAAATCAGATGAGCTAGGATATTTTTGATCAACATGAACTTTTCTCTTTTTTGATGGAACATCATCCCCATCTGTTTTAGACTTCCTTTTAGAACCTTTACCCTTATCCTTCACAACATCCTTTCCCACCATTTTGATCTTTCTTTTTGAACTTGTGCCTTTTTCAACAACTACTCGCTGAGCAGTTTGTGACCTCGTTACTCTATCGTTGGGAGTCCCGCTATGTGAACGAGTTCTTCTATCAACAGGGGTACTTTGCATTCCTTCAATAGGGGTATTTTGCCTTGCTTCAACAGATTGAGGGGTTGCATGCCCCAAATCGCACCCAAATTCTGGTAAATCTTCAAAATCGTATCATCATTCCTAATAAAACTAGGGTTATATTTCACTAATTTACCAGCTAATTTCATAGAATGTGGAGATGCCCTCAACTTCCTATTTTTCTTCAAAGACTTCTTTTTCTCCATTATAGAGTCGACTATGAACAAAAATCGGAAAACCTACTAAAATTTTGACTTACATCGAGAGCAAGAGTAAACATGGAGAAGCTGTGTTTGAGAAGAAATGGTGTTTCGAGAGGCGGGTCAGTGCATTGAGAGCCGAGTGCAATAGAAAAATGAGTTAAGAGGCGGGTCAGTGTATTATGGATTATGGGCCATTAGATGTAATATGTTTGGGCCGGAGGGACATTTCGGGTCTAGGGGGAAAATATGGGTTTTTAAAAATTTTAGGAGCTATACAGGGTAGTTTTCTCAATGTTTTATAGGGAGGAAGTGCACTAACAACTTTTAACTACTTGAAATATTCACTATTTATAATATATTTAAACACTAGTCAATTCATCCAAACTTCAGTATTAAAAATAAAATTGAGCTGCTAATTTGAAATTCAGAATTTAATGTATTAAATTTGTGAGCTTCTAACTTGAAATTTAGGACTATAAACATCCTAAATTTATGAACGCTAATTTAAAATTCAGAAATATATTTTAAACGCCATATTTAAAGTGGTTCATTTCCACGTTTTATAGCCACCTTTTCCATTCAAAAAGGGGTTTTAGATGCACTGGTGATAGTTTCGATCTGCCGCAAGCAAAAACCCTAGTAGCAGCAGACTAAGCGAAGGGGAAGAAACAGAGCACAACTATGGCGGCGGAAGGAAGAACACTGTCGACAAAAGAAGCCGACATACAGATGATGTTGGCTGCCGAAGTCCACCTCGGAACTAAGAATTGTGACTTCCAAATGGAACGTTACGTCTTCAAGCGCCGCAACGACGGTATATACTCTTAAAATGTTACTACTTGTCTCATTTCTTTCAATATATGCTCATTTCATGATGATGAAACATTATATATTAGCAGTGAATACCACGATTTTATGCACAAATTTGCAAATGCTTATTGTGATGCACTTTTATCGAACTGTTAGATTTCAATCAATCAAATATAGTCCGTAAATTAATTCGTTAGTCAAATTTATATTTGATTTTTTGCTTGCATGCAGTTAGACTATTCCAACAGGTTCATCTTTGCTAGGATTTGAACCTGAGAGCTCATGCATTGAATAAAAAGAATCATCTTTAAATTGCTAAGACTAGGTCCAATGTGCGGCAGGTTGTGCTAGCTTTCTCTATTTGGAACTGCTGATTACTCTACTAGATGATCTTTTCAATGTTCTGATTTTTAATGTCTAAAGATGATGCATATAAATTACTTAGTTGACATAGAATCATTTATTTCATTGTGATAGTTTTACCTGCTATGTTTCATCCTCTGTTCTTGACTACTTTCCCAAAATATATCTTCGGTGTGGCTTTTGTTTGGTCTAATTTTCAAGTACTACTCTCTGCTTATCTTGACCTATCTATTTGTATTCTTAGGTATCTACATCATTAACCTCGGAAAGACATGGGAAAAGCTTCAAATGGCTGCCAGGGTAATTGTTGCTATTGAGAATCCTAAGGATATAATTGTGCAATCTGCCAGGCCGTATGGGCAGAGAGCTGTCTTGAAGTTTGCGCAATATACTGGTGCAAATGCAATTGCTGGACGTCATACCCCTGGAACGTTTACCAACCAGCTTCAGACCTCATACAGTGAGCCAAGACTCCTGATTCTCACTGATCCAAGAACCGATCATCAGGTTTTTACATATTTTCCTGATACTCATCATCTCTTTCTTAAGCCTTCCAATGATTTATTACCTGTTTGAATACTTTGCAGCCAATCAAAGAGGCTGCGCTTGGGAACATCCCAACTATTGCTTTCTGTGACACTGACTCTCCAATGCGCTATGTTGACATTGGTATCCCTGCGAATAACAAAGGAAAGCATAGTATTGGTGTTCTTTTCTGGCTCTTAGCGAGGATGGTACTGCAGATGCGTGGTTCCATTAACCAAGGACATAAATGGGATGTCATGGTAAAGACTATATCTTTAAGCTCTAATTCCATCTTTTTCATTTTGCCGTGGTTGGTTTAATGCTCCTCTCGAGTTTAATAAATAGCTCATTGCTCCATTTTGCAATTGGTACAACTGAAATTTAATAATAAATTATTGCCTTTTTTTGCTGTGAATATCGGTTTTTCATTTGTGTGTGTTCATTTCCATTGTTGCAGGTCGATCTCTTCTTTTACAGAGAGCCTGAAGAGGCTAAGGAGCAACAAGAAGAGGAAGCCCCTGCAATCGATTATGCAGACTACTCTGCTGGTGGTGACTGGTCTAGTAGCCAAATCCCTGAGGCCCAGTGGACTGGAGATGCTGCACCTTCTGGTCCAGTAGTTGCTAGTGGTTGGTCTGGTGAAGGAGGTTAGTTTGTTACACTGTTTCATGAAATTAGCTCTGGATATTGACATATGACAGAGCAGCTGCCAAATTAGTCACTCTATATAGTTCTTTTATCTCCCTTTTATATCGCTAAGGTTATTGTCATATTTTCTGCTAAGAAATTTGATACTAGTTGGTAGCTCTGAGATTGTCTTAGTGGATGGTGGTTTGCTAGTCTCTTTTTTCTCTTGGACTATAGTTGAACCTCTTCTGCAATCGTCTGACGATTTCGAGTTTTTTATTTGTCTATTGTTTAGCCAAATTTGGCGGCACTAACAACTTTACATTCTTTTCTTTTGATGAATTGCAGTGGCTGAGGGAGGAGGCTGGGACACTGCCGCTGCACCTGTTCCAGTTCCTGTGTCAGATGCCGCCCCAACTGCTGGAGGAGGCTGGGACACTGCAGCTGCACCTGTTCCAGTTCCTGTGTCAGATGCCGCCCCAACTGCTGGAGGAGGCTGGGACACTGCAGCTGCACCTGTTCCAGTTCCTGTGTCAGATGCCGCCCCAACTGCTGGCGCCACAGGCTGGGAATGAACCTGTTTCCTTTAGGAAGCTCTTCATCCCTTGTGGATAAAGAGTAGACATTGTGAGTTCTACAAAAATAGTTTTGTTCATGGCACAGTTAAAGGATTTTCTGTGGATGTACTGAATTATTTAATCATTGCTAGCACGGCTTTTTGGAGAATTTCGAAGTGGTTTTGTTATCAAGAGGTGGAAACTGTCAAATTTGGTTGCTGTGTGGAAAATATTCAACGCCCATCGGAATTATTACTGCATTATTCCAAAATGGTTAACCAAATTCTCTTTAGGAGGGTTTCTTTGATCTCGGGCATTGATTTTTTTAATTTGAAAATTAGAGTTTTGGGTTCCATGACTGCATGAGAAACATACTACATTTTACTAGAAGAATGAGAAACTTGGTCAAGCAAAATGTAAGTCAAGCTTATTACGCTTTATAGCTATGATTGTCTTTTTGGTATTATACAAACTGTGCAGGTGTAAACTTTTGAGTCGGTTAACCTAACCTCCATTGCTAGTTCTAGTAATTGACCTTTTGATGGTTGAGTGCTCTTGGAGCTTGTTAACTTGAGCACTGTAATCCAACTTTTCAAATCTCTGTTCTAAGGGGTCTTTGGCCTTTCCAAAGCAATGAGTTAGTTCAATTCGCGGAACCCAGTTTGGAAACTGATATTATTAATGGTATTAAGAAAAGAATAATTTTGAGTACTACCCTATGTTTTTTCTTCTTTTTGTAAATTTTTCTTACTTCTATATATGTGAAAGATCCATGCTTTTCATTACATTTTATGTGCTTTGTGGGATACAGATTTTAATTGGAAAAAGATAGTCCAGAAATGTCCAAAATAACCAGAACAATCAGTTTAAAAACGGAACGTGCATTTAGGTCGTTTGTTTCTCAGACAATAGCAGTGAACACTGTTTGACTTAGCAGGCGTGAGAGACTGATAAGTTGCAAAAGGTCATTTGCTGCAATGAGGAGTTGAATTTCACCATTTTCCTCGTCTTATTCTACTTCTTCTTTGTCTTCTCAAATCCTTTTGAACTTGGATTCAAGTTTTATTTTTTGGCATCTCGTATATTTCTCTTTTAACTCTTTTTAATTCTCTTATTTCGTTATCGAAAATTAGTTTTCGTTTTTCTCTTACGTCGGCAGGAGCCAAAAATTGTTGTAAGGAAATGCTTTAATGACAAAAATACTTTTCTCTATCTCTTCTTCTCTATTCTTTTCCCATTTTTTCTTCCTTTGATGTTCTCTGTTTTTTATCATTTCATGTTGTATAGAGTTTTATTAGAATTCATCTATGAATTTCAATCGTTTTACTATAGAGTTTTAACTTAACAGATTCCTTTTATGTTGCATAATTGGTGTTCGAATTGAAATTGTCAATCAATAAATTTTGAAGGTGTCTGACTCACCATTAAAAAGTTTCGAAACTTTGAATTCGAATTTGTTTTTTCAAAAACTATTATTTGTTTGGATTGAGTGTTGTTACAAACAATTGGGAATATTCTTTGGAGTTTATATCTCAATTTTGAGGGTGTTTGGTGAAGATTAGACTTGATTTTGGCTGAATTTCAGATTGAAGACACCACATACAAAATATATACAAATCATACAGTGACCATTGTGTTGAAGCATAATCGCAAATGTTGTCATTGAGATTCAATTGTTGAAACAATTTCAAACTTGGAAAAATAATTTATTATCGTCAAATTGTATAGAAATCTACTATATTTTCAGAACTGATTAATCACACTTCACATTGAACTGCAACCAGTGTTTTCTATAAGAATTTTGTTTTGAATTTATTGCGTTTTTGATGTAGAAGCAGAAAAAAATCTTCGATAGAGGTAGATACTGCAGAAAAATCGGTGTCAATTGTGTATTATATTGTTTGTACATTGAAGCGTATCTATTTTGTAACTTAAAATTATTTTGCTGCTTGAATCACGCGTCTAATTAAAAAGGCCCACAGCTGGAAGGATATTTGATATATAATTTGTAACAAAAATTTATTTAGGGTGTATATTTGGACAAATTTGATAAATAAGTTTCATATATTGTATAGAAAGAAAGAAAATTATTAATTAGTCAATCTCTGGGTAAGTGGGTTTTTTCCTGATTTGTTCCAGGCCGACAGGTAAGAATGATAGGAATGTTATAAATACATTATATTATGGATGTTCATTTAATACTCCGTTGTAAATAAGCTTCCTGAAGAAACTTATCCATATGAGACTCCACCGTAAATATGTTTATCTATTTAGTACTCTATTGGAAATAAGCATCATGAAGAAGCTTATCCTTTCGGTACTCCGTTATGGATAAATATTACCCATGGTAGAAGATTATATATATCTGGCACAACAACTTAGAGTAGCAGCTTACACAGCAGCTTGCAGCAGCAACTTACAAGCAGCTTGCAGTAGCAACTTACACAGCAGCTTCCTTTCTTCTATAAATAAAGGAGAATTCAGTTCATTATGTACATAAGTTTGAAATTTGAATAATATATCAGTTTCTCTCTATATTTGTCTTTACTTTACTGTCTTTATTTTATAACACGTTATCAGCACGGGACTCTGCCATCTCGAGAAAATACTTTAAAAGTATCAGAGGTACGAACTTTCTTTTTCTAAATAATGTCAAATCTTTCTAAACTTGAGTTTGTAGCCCTGGATATATCAGGCAAAAGTTACATGTCTTGGGTGTTTGATGCTGAAATTCATCTTGATGCGATGGGTCTAGCAGACACCATCAAAGATAAAAATCAGGCATCAAAATAAAGACCGTGCCAAAGCAATGATATTCTTACGCCATCACCTTGATGAGGGCTTGAAAATGGAATATCTTACTGTTAAAGATCCAGTCATACTGTGCAATAATTTAAAAGATAGATATGACCACCTGAAGATGGTCGTTCTTCCACAGACATGTTATGATTGGACTCATCTAAGGCTACAAGATTTTAAATCTATCAGTGAGTATAATTCTGCTATGTTCAGAATTATTTCCCAATTGAAACTATGTGGTGATAATATTACTGATCATGATATGTTGGAGAAAACTTTCACCACTTTTCATGCCTCGAATATGCTCCTGCAGCAGCAATATCGAGAGATGGGATTCAAAAAGTATTCTAAACTTATCTCACATCTTCTTGTAGCCGAGCAACATAATGGGCTATTAATGAAAAACCATGAAAGCCGACCTACTGGTTCTTGTCCATTCCCTGAAGTGAATGAGACGAACTTCCACCAAGCTAAGCGTGGAAGAGGACGTGGCCCCAATCGTGGTCATGGTCGTGGTCGGGGAGGAAACTCTAATCGTGGTAATAATAATGCACCAAAGAACCCTCCTCACCACCAGCAGTGGAAAAGGAATGAACAAAAGCATGAAACGGTGCAAGCAGCAAAGTCAGAAAATGCATGTTATAGATGTGGAGGAAAAAGGGCACTGATCATGTACATGTCGTACGCCAAAGCACCTAGTTGAGTTGTATCAAGCCTCCCTAAAGAAGACAGAGAAAAATGTTGAAGCAAATTTTATTTCTGAAGATAATTTAGACTTCATGTATTTGGATGTAACTGATTACTTTGCACTCCCAGAAGGAGAAACAAGTCATGTGATCGGTAGTGAATCTGTAAAAATATAAATACTTTAATTTTGATTGTTTGTAGTAGATAGTATGATTATGCAATTGTTGTACATAAATAAAAGTTATGCTTTGATAATAATATTTACTATAATATATTTTATTTATGCATTTTAAAGAATATGGATAATCCTCAAATTATGTTTGGATCAAAGACTAATCATGAAGATATTTGTGTAATTGATAGTGGAACAACCCATGCCATATTCAAGGATCAAAAATACTTTTCTTATTTGTATAATAAAAAAGCAAATGTTTCAACAATTTCTGGTAATATAAGTTTGATTGAAGGCTCCGGAAGAGCCATTATATTTCTGCCTAAGGGAACAAAACTTATTATCGACAATGCATTGTTCTCCTCCAAGTCCCGAAGAAACTTGTTGAGTTTTATAGATATCCGCCGAAATGGGTATCATGTTGAGACAATAGATGAAATGAACGTGGAATATCTTTGTATTACAAAGAATATTTCTGTCCAAAAATGCATTGTAGAAAAGTTACCAATTTTATCTTCTGGCTTATACTATTCAAAAATTAGTACAGTTGAAGCACACACTATCGTAAACTAGAAGTTTACGGATTCAAATACTTTTGTGCTTTGGCACGGCCGTTTGGCCCATCCTGGATCAATAATGATGAGACAAATTACTGAAAATTCGAGTGGGCATCCATTAAAGAACCTGAAGATTCTTACAAATAATGAATTTTCTTGTGATGCTTGTTATCAAGGCAAAATGATCACTAGACCATCACCAATGAAGGTTGGCATTGAATCCCCTGCCTTTTTAGAACGTATACATGGGAATATATGTGGACCTATTCACTCACTAAGTTGGCTGTTTAAATATTTTATGGTCCTAATAGATGCGTCTTCAAGATAGTCTCATGTGTGCCTACTATCATCTCGCAACCTAGCATTTGCAAAGTTATTAGCCCAAATAATTTGATTAAGGGCACAATTCCCCAATTATCCTATAAAGGCTATTCACCTTGATAATGCTAGAGAATTCTCATCTCAAGCTTTTGATGATTACTGTCTATCAGTTGGGATAACAGTTGAACATCCTGTAACTTATGTTCATACTCAAAATGGGCTTGCAGAGTTATTTATTAAATACCTGTAGTTGATAGCAAGACCACTATATATGAAAACAAAATTGCCCACTACTGTTTGGGGCCATGCTATCTTGCACGCAGCATCACTTATCCGTCTCAGACCAACACATTATAATAAATATTCTCCGTCACAATTAGTTTTTGGTCATGAACCAAATATTGCCCATCTACGAATTTTTGGATGTGCTGTATATGTGCCAGTAGCACCACCACAGCGCAGTAAGATGGGCCCCCAAAGAAGGTTAGGAATATATATTGGGTTTGAATCACCCTCTATTATTCGCTATCTTGAACCATTGACGAGAGATTTATTTACTGCTCGATTTACAGATTGTCGATTTGATAAAATAAATTTCCCACAATTAGGGAGAGAGAAAAAGGAAATCAAAAGAGAAATTGTGTGAAAAGTTTCATCATTATCTCACTTTGATCCACGTACCCCTATATGTAATCAGGAGATCCAGAAGAACATCCATTTACAGAATATAGCAAATCAAATGCCAGACGCATTTACTGATTTGAAAAGGATAACTAAGTCACATATCCCTGCAGAGAATGTGCCTATCCGAATTGATGTCTCAGCAGGACCATCTATTAGCATGAGAGCTAGTGAACCTAAAGCACGCCTGAAGCGTGGTAGGCCTTTGGGTTCTAAGGATCGAAATCCTAGAAAAAGAAAATAGACAAATGATCAAAATGATATTATGAAGGGATCTCCTGAAGAGACCCAAGATCTGATTAGTTCTGAGATTCCTGAAGAAATCAATGAACTCGAGACTCAAGTGAGTGAGAAACTTTTAATAAGTTCTACTGGTGATGGGATCAATTTAAATCGATCTGAAATAGTGGTGGATAATATTTTTGCATATAATTTTGCACTTAACATTATGCAAGATAGTGAGAATCTTGAACCCCGATATGTCGAAGAATGTCGACAAAGATCTGATTGTCCAAAATGGCAAGAGTCAATTTAATCGGAATTGAAGTCACTTGCTAAAAGAGAGGTCTTTGGACCAGTAGTCCAAACACCTGCTGGTATAAAGTCAGTTAGTCATAAATGGGTTTTTGTGCGAAAAGGGAATGATAAAAATGAAATTGCAAGGATTCTCACAACGACCTGGAGTCGATTATGAAGAAACATATTCACCCGTTATGGATGCCATAACATTTCGATATCTCATCAGTTTAGCCTTACGTGAAAGGCTTGAAATACATCTAATGGATGTGGTTACAGCTTATCTATACGGGTCACTTGATAATGAAATTTAAATAAAAATCCCTGAAGGGTTTAAAATGCTTGAAGCATATTCAAAATCTCGGAAAATGTACTCAATCAGATTACAAAGATCTTTGTACGGTTAACAATCTGGGTGCATGTGGTATAATCGCCTCAGTGAATATTTGCTGAAAGAGGGTTACATAAATGGTGTTATTTGTCCATGTATTTTTATAAAGAAAATGACTTCAGAATTTGTTATACTTGTTGTTTATGTTGATGACATAAATCTTGTTGGAACTCCAGAAGAGCTCCAAAAGGCAATTGAATATCTTAAGAAAGAATTTGAGATGAAGATCTTGGAAAGACAAAATTTTGTCTTGGTCTTCAGATTGAATATTTAGCAGACGGGATCTTTATCCATCAATCTGCCTATACAGAAAGGGTCTTAAAATGCTTTTACATGGACAAAGCGCACCCATTGAGTACACCAATAGTTGTTCGATCACTTGAAGTGAATAAAGATTTGTTCTGACCGCCAGAAGAGGATGAGGAACTCATTGGTCCCGAAGTACCCTATCTCAGTGCAATTGGTGCACTAATGTATCTTGCTAATGCTACAAGGCCTGACATAGCATTTTCTGTTAATTTACTAGCAAGTTATAGTTCTTCTCCTACACGGAGCCATTGGAATGGGATTAAACATATATTGCGATATTTAAAGGGAACTCTTGATATGGGTTTGTTTTATGCTAACAAAGATAGTGGCAGATCTTGTTGGTTATGCAGATGCAGGTTATTTATCTGATCCCCATAAAGCTAGATCTCAAACCGAGTACGTATTTACACGTGGAGGTAATATCATATCATGGCGCTCCACAAAGCAATCTATTATTGCTACTTCTTCAAATCATGCTGAAACAATAGCTATTCATGAAGCAAGTAGGGAATGCGTATGGTTGAGATCAATAATTCATTTTATTCGAGAAAAATGTGGTTTGGAATGTGAGAAAAGACCCACAATTTTATACGAAGACAATGTTGCATGCATAGCCCAATTGAAGGGAGGATTTATAAAAGGAGATAGAACGAAGCACATTTCACCAAAATTATTCTACACACACGATCTTCAGAAAAATGGTGACATTGATGTGCAACAAATCCGTTCAAGTGATAATCCGGCAGATTTATTCACTAAATCTTTGCCAACTTCAACTTTTGAGAAGATGGTATACACGATTGGAATGCGGAGACTCAAATATTTGAAACAAGGTTTTCATCAAGGGAGAGTAAAATACGCGATGTACTCTTTTTTCCTTACTAAGATTTTTTCCCACAGGGTTTTCCTTATAAGGTTTTTAATGAGGCAGCTAGAAATGCGTATTACTAAATATGTGTACTCTTTTTCCTTCACTAGGATTTTTCCCATTGGGTTTTTCCTAGTAAGGTTTTAACGAGACACAATACCTTTTAATGAACATCCAAGGGGGAGTGTTATGAAAATAATTATTGTGGATGTCCATTTATAAATCCGCTATAGATAATCTTCCTGAGGAAGATTATTCATTTAGTACTCTGTTGAAGTTTATCTACAAGCAACTGATACAGGCAGGTTACAAGCAGCTCAATGAAATGATTTACAACAGCTTCTTATTAAACAGGCAGGTTGCAAGCAGCTCATGCAGACAACTTACAAGTAGCTAAAAAAAAGTCTTGCAGCTACTTCCTGAAAAGCCTCGCAGCTGCTTCCTTTCTTCTATAAATAGAGGAGTTTTTAATTCATTATATATATAAGTTTGAAGTTTGAATAATATATCAGTTTCTTCCTATACTTGTCTTTACTTTATAGTCTTTATTTTATAACACGCTTGAGTTTATACAATCAACGTAGAGCTATTTTTCTTCTTACGACTTCTCCATGACTAACGAACAAAGCTTGTTTAGTCCTTGAACTGAACCTGTTGGGCTTCACAACTCAAGCTCTTCCTCATGGCAACTAAAGATGAGCCATCGGACGACGACGATGCAAAGCATGAAGACTTAAGTTTAATTTGTTCCTTCACATGGTTGCCCACCTGTGTGACTGAAACATGTGTAAAAATGTGTTTGCGTAGACGTTAAAGCACAAACGAAACAACCATTAACCGATAACAAGATACATTTTGGACTTGCCTTGTTAAACAAACTGAATTGGTGAAGCTGCAAATTTACAATATTCCTTTTTTCACTGTTGTCCCCTCATTCTTTCAACTAAATTTCTCCCCTTCTCTTCTATGTGACGTGCCCTCTCTTCAAGTTTCTCCCCCATTTTTTTTCCCAAACCAAGCATCCTAGCCCTTCTCCCTATTCTTGTAGACTTTGTATCATCTTCTCCAGTAATTTGATATTTTTCTGCAAGCAGTACCAGTTGTCGAGAAGGTGACTTGCATTCTATGTTCTCCTCTGTGCTCCTGAGGTGACCCACTTGCTGTTCCTCATGCTTCAATAACGGGGCTTTCAGTTCTTCTGAAGCCTGGTTACTTGTGTTAGGCTGCGCTATAGGAACTGATAAGGATGCATGTGGATCCAATGACTTGCTTTGCAGTGCAGACCATCCAACTTTTCTTGGCTTTTCTTGTTTGCCTTCGGCATTGCTAGTGGTACTTCCTGTATCTGGACTATGCGTAGGAACTGATAATAATGCCTGTGGATCCAATGACTTGCTTTGTTGATTAGCCCATCCTGTTCTTCCTGGATTTTCACTTTTGCTTTCAGCATTACCACTGGTGCCTCCCCTATCAACTTCAGTGAATCGTGTTGCATCCCCAGGTTGGGAGCTGGGTGCTTCTTGTCTGTTGGCATTATTACCTGCAGTTTCTCGATTAATCCATATAAATGGAGCAACTTGTCGGGGGACCCAGTCATCCTTTTCCGCCAACATGCATGGGATGCATACACTTTCACAGTTTGGAAGTACCAGTGTTTCACGAATAGCAACCTGCATTAGTTATGATAGCATCAGCTAACCCTCCGAAGGAAATTTCACCCATGTTTTGAGATCAGCACTAGGAGTATTAGTTACCATTTTAGCAAGTAATGTTGGCTATGGGCTACAAAAAGAGAACAATATAATTGAAAATATTGCATACACTGCTCTGTTGAATTTAAAGTAGATCAAATTCATTAGTAATTGGGAATGAAACAAGTTTAAATGTTTAAATAACAACTTACCAAAGAGAAATGATCTAACCACAAACTAGTTACGCTGGCTTAGTGTATTCAGCTTATGCATTCCAAGTTGAAGATTATAACCTGCCATCAATCTCTATCTTCTTGAATGAATGTCAGCAACTGAATCACTCCTGTCCCTCTACTTTCTGGTTCTTAAACAACCTTTCTTCTACAGTTTCCGACTAGACTCTACTTATTCTGTGACCGATTTTGAAATACAGAAATTTCAGGCAGACAATGTCTTTGGGGTCACATCGACTATGGAAGCTACAGCCACACAACACTAACGGAATCAGGAAGGAATAGGGTAACATATGGGAAGTAGCACCTAGGGCTCTTATGTGGAAAGGTTTGACGAAGTGGAAGATACTCTCTTCCATATTCAGTGCATTTTTCCGCTTTTTGTATATTTTTGGATTCATACGAAATATCCATTTATATAACTGGCTATATTTTCGTGGGAAGGGACTCTTTTGTATAGAGTTGGGATTTGACATGGAATCTATAATCAATCAACCATTATATCTTTTCATACGATGATTGCTAAGTACTTTTTTCCAATACTATCTATTTCCAAGACTTTCTCAAATAATCTTTTTTGAGTAAGAAGACTTTCTTAGAGCCCTTTCAGCCAAGCTGTCAAAAATTACTTATTTTGAAAAGTACTTTTGTTCAAAAGTGCTTTTCAAAAAAATACTTTTGGAGATTGGCAGTTTGTGTTTGGCCAATTTGTTTGAGAAATACTTTTTGCAATATTTGATAAGCAAATTGTGTTTGGCCAATCTTTTCAAAAAGTACTTTTGAGTGTCAAATTACAGTAAATGTTTAGTTTACAATTAGCATTATTTAAAAACAATTAAATATTTATTATAAAAGAATTTAATTAATTTTTTATTTTTATTTAATTAAAGTATAAAATATAAAATAATATATATTAAAGATTTTAATCAATATAAAATATAAGTACGTAAAAGCAATAATATTGGTAGGAACATATGTGCTTACAAATTACATGGATCAAAAAATACTACTATTAATTCTTGAAAAAAACAAACAAACTAGGTAGTATTGCGTTATGTCAACTATATTATATGTGTTGAGCTGTCTCACATCGGTGGGATTTGAGATCCTTAGTCTCTTTATAAGGTCTTGGGCAATCTTCACCTCGTAAGCTAGCTTTTGGGGTCAAGTTAGGCCCAAGGTCCATTTATCATGGTATCAGAGCAAGGCCCATCCCAATTATTGTTACCGATGTTAGGCACATCTCAATTATTATTACCGATGTTGGGTCCCCCTTTATGTTGTCAACGCTCCAGTTTGCAGGCCTGGGCGTGAGGTGGGATGTTTTGTCCTACATCGGTGGGATTTGAGGTCCTTGGTCTCATTATAAGGTCTTGGCAATCCTCACCTCATAAGCTAATTTTTGGGGTTGAGTTAGGCCCAAGGTCCATTTATCATATGCATGCATGCTAAAAAAAGAAGAGATCTATTTATGGTAAAGAGATTATTCTATATAGGAATAAGAGGAGAAGAACAAAAAGATGGTAAAAATAAAAAAGAGAAGAAAGGGATGGTAGAGATAAAAAAGTAAAGGTTAAATTAATAAGGGATAATTTAGGAAATATTATTTTATGGTAAGGATATTTTTGTCTTGAAAAAATTAATTTTTTGCTTCTGCTTTTGCTTCTTGGAAGAAGCTAGAATTGTTGTTGTTCAAAAGCACTTCTCCGTTTTGGCCTAACACATTGTATTTCCAAATAAGTACTTTTTTGGGCAAAAATAGCACTTTTAACCTCCCAGAAACTTGGCCAAACAGGCTCTCCATATTCTAGAAATTTTAGTTCTATTGAAGACGTAATTAAGTAAATAAAAGTGTGTTTTCTCTAACAGCTTAAAAAATGGATTTAAAGCTAGCGAAGTGTTGTACCTATTAAAGGTAAGAGATTTCAATCTTAATCACCCCATAATTGGTTTTTAATCATGCTAGGTCAACAGAAAGTGGTTAAATGAGAAGAGATGCAGACACATAATCAATTTGTAGCACAGATAACTTCTCAATCTGACCTTAAATCGATTGATTAGGAACGAAGAAAGATGCCCGCTTGAGATCTTATGCTCCCCAACAAAAGAGTCCAAATGGAAATCTATATCGGGCATCGACGTGAATCCGAACCATATTTGATCTGAAGGTGGTGGCTTTATGTATAGCCTCATAGTTCCTTGAATGGATGCAATCCTAATCCCCAGTGAGAGTGAAACCTGGAGAGTTTAAAGATTCAATGTTTAGGATGCAAAAGAGCTTCTTCCACAATTTGTTATAGTACAAGAAGAACAAGAAATAATATATTCAGAAATATTCAGAAACCAATAGTACTAATTTAGTATAGTGCACATTTTGATTGAGTTCACAAAATCTACAGGTTAAACTATGTTTATGGAACCAAAAGAATATTAATAGTACTGGAATCAAACTCCTTTTTCTGTGATCACCCCTTAAACAAGTCAGTGCAATGCTCAAACATGCTCCCCAGTGAAGAATTAAATTGCTGACACAGAATGATTCAGATTTAAGGATTTGATGAGGAAATGGTCTCCTATGGCCACTTACAATTTGATTAGAAGAAAATTACCTTTTCAGATCTCTTGTGTGTTATTTTCAGATCTCTTACGCGTAAAAATAAAGATCTCTCATGAAAAGACATAAAACAATCAAAACAAATTTGTAAAGGACTACAAAACCAATTAACCTGGATTTGATATAGTTGACCGTGACAGTGTAGTGATTTTGTCCCTCCCCTACGTTTTCTTTTTTCTTCCCCAAAAACCAAAAGGCGGGAATTAATTACTAATTAATAGAGTCAGCCCTAAAATAGTTCGGCAAAACAAGATGTTGCAGAGACATGATTTAAACCCGTCACCTCAACGTAATGAGCCTTGCGAGCTACCAAACTCTCTACCCTGTACCGAAGATAAGAACTGAAAACTAATAGATGAACAAGGAATAAATGTGCCCCTCCACCCTATCTATACAAATAGAATAACCCATTGCAACAAATAAAGGAATTGTTACCAACCTGTGAAACCTGTTTGGCAACAGAATTAAAGATGGACTTCCACCTAGACACTTGAGGTGACTCACTTGGCATGATATTCGAGCTTCTCATCCCATCTGAAAATTCACCTGATTAATGCACCTCAATTACTATCTAATACAAACAATTCTACTTTTTAAAATAGTGGACTATTCCCCCATAGATAACTATACAAATAACATTAAGTATGCCTAACCAAATTAACATATTATGATTGGAAATTCCAAATATTATAGAACATCAAAGAAAATAGTACCTTCGTTGGTTTGGTCAATCTTCTCAACATTCTCTTCAGACTGTTTTCCTTTTCCAAACTGCTCAAATCCTTCTAGTAAATCTGATTTGACATCATGACTGGCAGCGGAATCTTCTTCTGGTTCGTCCCCTTCAGGAAAATCAAGGTCCTGAACTGCAACCCTTGTCTCGACATCCAAGATTGCACCACCAGAATACTGAAGATCAATTTCGAAGGCCCAAAACTCATTCATGTCTGAGGGAAGAACCCTCATTGCACGTATGTAGGGAGGAAGGTTACCAATATTAACGGCAGTACAGGTCACTTCACCTATGTAACTGGGAATTCGTATATTGGACAGCGTTCTCTACAAGTAAGAACACACAGAATCATAGCTCAGTTAGATAAAGCAAATGTCTTTTTAATTTAATATAAAAATGGAACATAAAATGTCAGAATAAAACATACAAGCCTACGAAGCTTCAAATAAAGCATTAAAACAATTTCCTGCCATGATAACTTGAGTAGGAAGAGAAGAAAATATCAACCATTCCAGACACAACTTTCTAAAACAGAAAGATTGTATTATAAGGAATCAAATTCATTTTTTACTCAAACACTTCCTGCTGACAAAACTCAATTGCCAATTTTCCGCCTACAGAACTAATTGCAAAAAGATGTTTATATGCTTGAAAAGCAATACTTAGCAAATTATGATGTCAGTAACCGAAAGCTTAAACCAAGATACATACATCTCATAATGGAAAGACAAAGGAGATCACAAACCTGAATCCTGGCTTGCAAAGAGGTTCTCATCTGGTCATTTCTTTTGGCATCAAAAAACAAACGGGATATTAACAAATTCCAACAAAGGGTTCCTTCATCACCGAAAACCCTGTCATCAGAATCTGCATCAGAACTAACAGACATTTGACTCCGGCTTCCTGATCCAGTAGATGCCGATATAGATGAAGGCACTACAACATCCTTAGTAGAAAAATCAAGAGGTTTGCGTGTTGGAGCCGATTTAACACCAACACCAGCAAAAGCAAGGTCTTGGAAGGAATGAACTCTCTCACTTATCTTCCTTTCTTCATGGTCTGACGTTGAAATGAAGGTTCCCTTATTTTCCGGAGCATTCTTAGAAGCTTTCTTGCCTAGCTTTTTCAAAAATTGCCGAACTTTTGATGAGGAACCATCAAACTTACTTGATTTATCACCTAAATCAACACCAATGCTTGAATGTGGTTTCATAAATGAAGGATATCCTGCATTTAATGACATCAGGTAATTTTGAAACTCTATGTTCAACTTGGCAAACCACTTTAGTTTTTCTTTGTCCTCACAGGATGCAAGACGAAGGGATTTGCACCATGCTTCCTTCTCCCAGCATGTCTCAAGATAAAAGTAAAGTATTCTACTTCCTTCATATAAAGTTGATGCTCTGCTCTCTATTTTAATAGGATATCTTTTTGCCCTGTAAAATTGTACCAGATAACACCAATTGAAATCGTAAGTTATTGTTATTAAATCTTACATCTTTGTCAATGAAATAATTAGACAAACCACTAACTTAACTGGGTGCTAAAAACAATTTTAGAAAAAGATATAAGAGATTAACTTCTGCATAAAAAGTATACAGTATTACCTTCTCTACTGAAATTAATTTTTTTCTTAATTGATAACATCTCACGTTGTGGGTTTTTGTACTCCAATTTTCACAAACCACTTGAGAGAAAATGGAGCATTTCAATTATCCATGAATATATTTTATCAAAAAATTGTATATGAAATATGAATATATATTAAAGTCACTTGTTTGTAGGAAATAACTTATTTCTCACACTTTCTGATAAATTCCACCTGGTATTTTGTTCTTTATAAATTGAACAAGCTCCAAATTTCGAGGTAAGCACAACAAAACGAACTAACGATCTAATTGACATCCACCAATCTATGGTGAATATGACAACACCTAGCACGTAAAGTGAATAGTTAATATGCTCTCAGGGTCGACCACTTATTTTGAAGATTCAATATTGTCCAAAAAAAACTTGATTCTCCAACTTTGATCAGGAGAGGAGTAGGTCAAGCTCACCTAAAAGTTAGAAGACTAGTTTCTTGCAGCCCAAAATATTAGGGAAGCAATTTGGATTTACTCTGCAATTGTTCTGCATATATTTCTCCTGAGACATTACCAAATTATACATAGAAGTTCATGAATTAAACAAATGAAAGCAGCCTACAGTCACATGAATCACCGGTATTCAAGTAAGAGCAATAACAATCAGTATTTTAAGAAGTCAGGAATGACGCAAGATTCAGTTGAATGGAGCTTAAGAGGTGAGCGGGAAAAAGCAAGTGTTAAAATGCTAATCCATTTCTTTCTACCACAAGCAACAAAATTCAACCTCGAGTCTTCGTCACCAGGAAACCTCAATTCCATTTGCCATCTTCTCAAATAGCAAGGTAGCTAGATTATACCACATTCGTAACATTAGATATTATGCCTCCTTAAACCAGCCAACCAATAAATATGTCATGTAACACCAATTTGCAGAGCAACTTATGATGAATGATATCTCCAGTGATACTCATGCAGAAAATTTAAAAAATGAATTAAAAAAAAAAAGAAACATTACCCTCACATAAGAACCTAGACCTTATTATGGATGCATCAAGCCATCAACCCAATAAAGGAGAGAGACAGAGAGAGATAGAGCTGCCACTGGAACATTTCTTATGGTGCATAATGCAAGTCTGACATCCATCTTCAACCTAACTCAATGAAACCTAAGATTTTGCTAGGAAAAGGGAAGTCTATTATGGGCAAAAAGAAAGATCTGTTTACATTTGCTAAGCGGCAAGAATTTATCAATCAACTTCTTGACACTAGAGAAAAAGGATATTTGATTTCTATCTTCTGTATACTATTTCTAAAAAAATTCTTAGCTTTCTTATTAAATACACTCTGCAGTTATCCAAAAATCTCACAACCAGGATTTGAACTTCAAATACTATAATAAAAATTTTATTCTTTTACTAAATCCAGCACCAAATGACCAACCTACTTTCACCCAGTGATGCTACATACATACATACATACAACAACAACAACAACAACAACAACCCACTATAACCCCACAAGTGGGGTCTGGGAAGGGAAATGTGTACGCAGACCTTATCCCAACCTTGTGAAGGTAGAGAAGTTGTTTCCGATAGACCCTCGGCTCAAGGAACAATGACAAGAAAGCAACCAACCATAATAACAACAACAACAAGAAAAAGAAAAAGAAAGAAAAAACAAAGACTCACGTGTAATAACAAAGATCTAGAGATAAAAAAAATGCAAGAATAGAACTAATATTATTGGTAAGAATGACACAACATATAATAAAAGCATCTAGGAACAGGAAAATATAAGAATATTACTAATATTACCGGTAAGACTATCAGATTAACTCAGACTCAGACTACGAAGAACGCTTTGGGCTCATTTTTATGTCCACCCTAGCTTTCATGCAACCAGAATCACAGAGAAACGGACATAGCGTATATCTCAATTACAGCTAGAGACTAGGGAGGTCTTTTAGATCTGAGCCTTCAATACTAAGTTATGTACTATACTCTCAAAATTGCTAGAAGAGGAATAGGAGTGCAATATAAATCTTGCCAATGTACTGATGTAGGGTGGCAGTCCAACTTAAAAACACTTCAAAAGACAATAGTACTTCCAAAATTACCATTTTCTAGAGGATAAGCTTGAAGCAGAAACAGCTGCTATCATGCAACCTTTGAGTAAAATTTCTACATGGGAACCATCTGACTCTGTTAGGACGAGATAATGGTCCTTGATTTGGGCAAATTTCTGAGTAGGTGTAACCTCTAAGATCTCTTTCTTGACCTTTTGCTGCTTCAAGGCTTTATCCACAGGAAAAGCCTTTGGTAATCTTTCAGATTCTAGAACCCAGACTATCCCCTGGAAGACAGAACAGAAGCACAATACGATAAGTTGAAACAGATCGAGTCCATTTGGGAAAATGTGAAAGGTAACTGAATAGATAAACAAAACTCAAATCTTACAGCAGAATGTGAGCTTGTGAGCAATTATCAGTTTATCCCCGAACACATATCTCAGAGCAAAATTGTGAAATAGAAACATTTTTATCAAGATATTATAAAATAACAAAACTGTGACAAAGAAATATCTTCTTAAAGTAAGAATAATATCCTAAACAGTCTGAAAAAGAAACATATTTCAAAATTATACCATGAGCTTGAATATAACAGCAGATCTGAACTGATAATCTCTCTAGCACATCCTATCATGTTTCGCTAATGGGAAATAATGATGTGATCTCCTCCCACTTTCTAGTAGAAAGAAGCTTGAGGACCAGTGAGAAATTGAAACCACTTGTAGGACAACTATTATATTGTCTGAAGTTTCCTAAGATGTAATTTTCTACTCTTCTGCCTTTTCAGTGATAGAACATTTAAATCCTCTCAAAGAACATCTTTTCCTTCTCTTCGGAGAAGGGGAAGATGACGGAATGCTATTTGTTATCCAAGTTTACAAATAATATTATTCGTTAACTAATCTTCTAATCAAGAAAGGCCATAAAGCTGAAACTTGGCCTTCTTGGGCCTGTTGGTTTGATTTCGAAGAATATATTTGGAATATGGTCTCAGGAAGCACTTTTAGTGTTAAAGAACCTAAATTATTATATATTGAATTGAGATGGGTCTAAAAAGAGAATGGCTAGTGAGATTTATATAGCAACTCCCATTAGCTCGGAATTGAGGCATAGTTGCTGTTAATGTTGTTCTCAAGAAGCACAAGAATCCACTTGTATGTTTCAGTTGTACAATGATGGGATGGTTTTCACCAGATAAGTGTTTGACAATGAGAACTCAGGCAATTCCGATCTTTACCGACCTCTGATCATTCACTTGTTTAGTCTTATCCAACACATGCTTAGATCTTACCAGCCTTAAATCTCTACTCCGTCGAAGATGAAAAAGACACTGCACTCCGACGCCCTATTAGGGAGGAAAGTTGAGTACTTTTAGTGTCAAAAACCACTTTGCAGGTGTTCGACGTTCTACGGAAAAAGCGCTTTTGAGAAAGCACCAATATTTGATACGTAAATAACCTACTTCTTTGGAATAAAAATATAGGCATAATTTTAAAAATACTTTCCCCACTGTCAAAGCAAAGTTGCAATATTTATGTCTAAGTTAACTTCTAGTTAATTAAATGCCAAAAGTACATTATAAATTGTACACTTATTGAAGTATTTCACTGCTTCTACAAAATCCTATGGCACATCCAAATGATTCCAACGCATATACCTTAACCACTTGAATTTTTCCGGTAATAAAGCCTTTTAGATTACTTTTACCTCAATGTTCAATTCTTTAATTTCAACGGTGTAGCTCAACCTCATTCTACAGCCCTTTTTTCAAAACTGAAACAAAACCAATATTAGTTCTCCTGTTAGCATATTAATGAGAAAGACCCAATTTTCACCAGTCAAAGTTACCTCAAAACAAGCCTAAACTGCTCGTTACTTTCAAATCCAGTTAATTCAAACAATAATGAATTTGTAGAAGTTATTGAAGTAAACACCCCTTTTATTCCATGTACAAGTATATAGAAGGTTAGGCATGTACATCAATAGCCTTAAGTGTTATCTAGACAGACCTAAATAGACTCTATGAATTTAAACCATATTCAAAATACTTATGTGATCTATGCATTCAAGTGTCCAAATTACATTCTATCTTCTCCCTCAGTTTGAGCAAGAGGAAGTACAATGTCAAGATTTAATGTAGCATATAAAATCTAAACTGTGACAAAAGTTTGATGAAGATGTCTACTATCCAATTTGTCCATAGCGATACATTTCCTAATAAGGTTACCACTTGCTACTTACGAGGAAGGGAACCACAAAACCTCATCTGTAACAGTATATTCAGCCTCAGAAATAGGAGGAGAAAGTGTGGGTTGTGTCTTGATCTCCTAAGGAATTAAATCTCACCAAAAGAAACAACAATAACGAGTAACCAAGTGACGAGTAACAAGACAACCAACCCAATCAGCATAAGGGACGCATGCAAAGTTAGGGTACACTTATATTTATTCAATTATGTCTAAACAAGCTCCCTCACGTGCAGACTTGATTCTTGTTCTTTTAAATTGTATCAAGCATGTGGAAATACCTTTCTTCATAATAGAAACACACACTTTGTATTCAATGTACAAGTACATATGTCATATAGAAGGTTTAGGAGCGGATCTTGACTTTAAGATATGGGTTCGGCAGAATCCAATTAAAAAAAAAAAAAAAAAAAAAAAAATATATATATATATATATATATATATGTATATGTGTATGTATATGTGTATGTATGTATGTATATATGTATGTGTATGTGTATATGTGTATGTATGTATGTATGTATATATGTGTGTGTCGGGAAAAGCGTATTCAACACATACAGGCTCAAGGAAAGCATCCTATACTTGAGATAAGTGAGCACAAGAGCTTGTAATAAATGCTTTTATTATTACTTGAAACAATATTTATTACGCTTAATCCTTTGCCCCATTCTTTGATATGCCTCCCTGCCGATCAAGGAGCGAGGCTGCTCATGATAACTTTAGCTTTAAGCTGCTATCATTTGGTTAGGATAGGTCAAGTTCTTTCGATCGCTTTCTTTAGACGGTCTTCCTTTATCTTTCCTAACATTCAGAGTGTTATGGTTTGAGATGAGAAAGGAGCACTGGCCGAACACAATGAATAAGAAATTAACAACAAAGGGAATCAATGATTCTTATTCGACCGAGTCCTAGCTAGAAAGATGTAGATTACACACTTCGAAGTAAGCCTATGGGTTATTTCGGAGCTTGCTAAAAATCCACTAGATATGTACAAAAACTAAATTTAGAAGCCAGTTACTAGCACTTGAGGTCACTGTCCTATAAGTCGGAATTCACAAAGTTCAAATTATGGATCTGCCTCTTAAAAGGTTAGGGATGTAAATAACTAGCCTTAAGTCTTATCTACATATATCCAAATAGACTACATATACCATATTCAAAATACATCTATCTACTTATACATTCAATTCCTCAAATTATATTCCACCAATGTCCCCTAATAGAATACAATAGGTCAATAGTCATTCAAAAACACACACACGCACACAAATGGGGTCAAGAAATCACACTTCCTTTGTTCCAAAATGTCTGACACTTCTCATTTCCGAGATTCAAACTAATTGCATTTGACTAACATTTTGAAATGCATTTATTCACTACTTAGATAAGGGAGTAATAGCTACTTATATACTTCTCATATAGTTTCCAAATACTTAACATTTAATTTTAATGAAGAGTTTAAGTTATATACAATTATACACTATCAGTGTAAAAAATTTTATATACTATCATGTCACGTTTACCGATTATATCTCGCTTTTTGGATGACCTAATTCTTTACAATGAGAGTGTATATTACTTAAACTCTTAAAAAGATGAATTGATCTAGTAAATTTAGATTCCATATTGACTCTCTGCAAACCAATTTTAGCGGAAAGAGTACATGATATGTTGGCACGGGTCAAAAACTGAGCAGCATAAATATTAAGCAAGTAAAATGACATGCCTGCTTTTGGTGCAAAGAGAAATCGAAGTCCCCGTCCGGTTTTGCTTTATCCACTTCACGAGCCACTCTACGGTTCAACCAGCGAATCAAAAGCACCACTCCCACAGCTTCCACTGCAAGGACCGTTACAGCTCCCAGAACAAACACTATAAAGAGCAGCAACATTTCTTTTTCTTTCTCCAAAATGAACAACCACTAAGATATCGCGCTGTCACAAATCCATTTTTACAGAAATAATTTTGACCAAGATGAAGAGTGGATTTGAGAGAAAGAGGAGCGAATATAAGTCACCCAAAATTAATTACGAAGGAACGGTTTAACTAGTTAAACGAAATTCGCGGATAAAAGTACTGTTCAAAGCAAAGTGGCTGACCAACCTCTCACTCAAACGCGTTTGTGTAGTTCGTTTTTGCGATCAAATTGTAGTATTTTCATAAGTCATAAAATAGTCTATTTGAAAAAAATTAAAATAAAATATTCTACTGGTGAGAAAGACATTACTATTTTACGATTTTTCATTTATTGTAATTCCACCGGTGTGGTCCATGCTTGGTTCTATCTATTGTAATTCCACCGGTGTAATTCCTATCATTCTTACCTGTCGGCCTGGCCCAAATCAGGAAAAAGCCCACTTAACCAGAGATTGACTAATTAATGAATTGTTTTTTCTATACAATATATGAAACTTATTTATTAAATTTGTCCAACTATTATATATTACCCACCCTAAATAAATTTTTGTTACAAATTATATATTAAATGTCCTTCCAGCTGTGGGCTTTTTTAATTAGACGCGTGATTCAAGCAGCAAAATAATTTTCGATTACAAAATAGATATGCTACAATCTACAAACAATATAATACACAATTGACGATTTTTCTACAGTATCTACCTCTATCGAAGATTTTTTTCTGCTTCTACATCAAAAACGCAATAAATTCAAAACAAAATTCTTATAGAAAACACTGGTTGCACTTGAATGTGAAGCGTGATTAATCAGCTCTAAACATACAGCAGATTTCTATACAATTTGACGATAATAAATTATTTTTCCAAGTTTGAAATTATTTCAACAATTGAATTTCAATGGCAACATTTGCGATTATGCTTCAACACAATGGTCACGGTATGATTTGTATATATTTTGTATGTGGTGTCTTCTTCTTCTTCTTCTTCTTCTTCTTCTTCTTCTTCTTCTTCGAGTTTCAATCTGAAATTCAGCTAAAATCAAGTCTAATCTTCATCAAACACCCTCAAAATTGAGATATAAACTCCAAAGAATATTCTCAATTATTTGTAAAAACACTCAATCCAAACAAATAATAGTTTTTGAAAAGCCAAATTCGAATTCAAAGTTTCGAAACTTTTTAATAGTGGAGAGTCAAACACCTTCAAAATTTATTGATTGACAATTTCAATTCGACAACCAATTATGCAACATAAAAGGAATTTGTTAAGTTAAAACTGTTACACTCCATGCTTTCGTACGTAAGAGTACGTTGTAAGTCAATTGATGTAAGCTCAGAAATAAAATCATCTTTGAAAAGTCTATAAAGTAAGTTAATTATATTACCGTGGAGGTTACAAATCTTTAAAATCATGGATAACAAGTACCAAGAGGGTTGGAAAGCTTAGAAGCTAAACGAAAAATAAGTTTCATCGAAAATATATAAGTTTGGAATGTTATAACATGCACTTTGGGGTGAGACAAGGGTTCTTAACGTGATAAGGAGGTTAAATTATGAGTTGTTTTAGGCTTATGATAGTCTTTTGTTACGTTTTGAAGTCAAGCAAGTTGTGAAATAAAAGTTGGCAAATGTCATCACAAGTTACATTCATAAATGTGCTGAAACTTAGGTCAAATATAGCAGAGCTTTTATCCCAATATACTTGAAATTACGGGATGCTCCACATATCAAATTGAATATCTACGAGTCTAGTTTCTAACTCATTAAACCGTTTGTCGATACGACATCGGAGTAGAGAGATATTTTCAGTTTCTTGAGACTACGCATACGACATAGGTGATAAGTAGGTGTGTCACTGAAACTTTTTGAGCAATACATTCTGTGTGTTATATAAGGTCTTTTTAGGACATATTATATACCAAATTGAAGGTATTGGAATGTAATTTCAAATACTCTTAACCGTTCGTTTATAAGACATCCAGATAAAAACATATAAGCGTCGAAAGAAGGGCCAGTGATAGGGTACCAAGCTAGCACCCCTTTGACTTTTCAAAAGTTGATATATTAAGGTCTTAGATCGTATTTATCTTCATTTTTCCATAGCACACGACCATAGAACACCCATAAACATATCCTTAATCTCTCTTCTAGGTTTCAAAGAAGATTAACATCCCGGGTATAAAATCAAGAAGCGATAACATTAGAACGATCCCTACGACGTAAGTATCGCTATACCGCCTCTCTTTTTCTTTATTGTTTGAGTTCTGGAAGGTAATTCATAGTTAATAAAATGTCTAATTTATGTATTTAAGTTTTTATATATCAATTAAGGTTGATAAATTTGTTTCCTAATAGTTTGAACTCACAGGACGATGATCGAAATTCGTGAGTTCGATTTATTTCGCTTTCAGTAGACTGTTATGTAGTCCACTCATGTTGGCCTATTGTGCTGCTGATTTATGGATTTTGGAAGGATGAAGGGCATGGAGAAATGCCACACATGGTAGGGTAGTAGGTTGGTTGTTCGTCGTTGCAATTTCAGGCTAATTGATAACTTGTTGATTGGGTGTGTTATGGTATATTTGGGATTTTTTGTTGTATTGAGGGTCCCGAATTGTAATTGGGTTGTTTTTGAGCTTCTGATTGTATTGTGTTTGTATCTCGCCTATAGTAGGCTTGATGGAGCAGTAAAATCAGGGAAAATACTGCCCGTTTTATTTTAGAATCGAGTTATCGTTTGAGATACATGATATACTAGTGCCATCTAAGTTGTACATGTATTTCTTTGTTATATAGTTGGCACGCTAATTGTCGTAAGCTTGTTGTTGAGTTGCATTGACGACTTGAGGTATGTTAAGGCTATCCCTTCTTTTCTTTTGGCATGATCCATATAATACAAACGAAACGAGCAAATGCGGAACTTTTACAAATTACTCTATTCTTAGAAGTACTGGGGTTGCCTATGTTCTTGATTCCCCATATGTCCTACTATTATATCTTTTGTTCACGGGTCTCAAAAAAAATACGTAAGTTGATAAAGTTTATTTGAGAGATCTTATTGACTTACTTCATTATGCATTGCATCCATTTATACATGTATATTGACCCATGACTAGATGGCATTATATACGCATATATTATATGTATATGGGGTATGGGAAAAGGTTATGGCGTTATATACGCACCACCACCTGATCAGCTGGTATACGTTGATGATTTCGCCCACAGAGGCCGGAATGATATGATGGGATGCCCTCAGAGGCTTGATGATATTATGTACACATATACCTATGCATGATATGACATTTATATGCACATGCATGACATTATAAATGTTTCATGATTCACAAAGCTATTCAGACTTACAGGTTGAGTCCTTTACTCCATGTTTCTTTCATGTTTTTTTATATACTACTTTCATGCCTTACATACTCGGTACTTTATTTGTACGGACGGCTCTTTTGCCTGGGGATACTGTATTTCATGCCCGCAGGTCCCGATAGACAGGTTGACAGTCCTCCTAGTAGGCTACCAGCTCAGCGGAAGGTGTTGGTGCACTCTACTTACTTCGGAGTTGCCTATTTGGTCAGTATGATTTGGACATGTATTTATTGGTATGGCGGAGCTCTATCTCGACCTTTATGATATTTTTGTACTCTTAGAGGCTTGTAGACAGATTTCATGTATATGGATACTTGTATGACCTTGTTGGCCTATGGTTTGAGTGTACAAATGATCATGCCGGCCTTGTAGGCCCGTATGTCACATGTATAAGTTTCTATATCATGTTGGGTCGTCCTACGTCTAATATTCCCTTATGTTTTATTCCGGTTATCTTATGACGGCCCTTCTGGCCCACTTACCCATGGCGGTATGATAAGAAAGATATGTTACGTTGGTACTCAGTTGTGTAAGGCATCGGGTGCCCGCCGAGGCCCAGCAGTTTGGGTCGTGACAAAAGTGGTATCAGAGCAGTTATGTCCTAGGGAGTCTACAAGCCGTGTCTAGTAGAGTCTTGTTTATGGGTGTGTTGTGCACCACACTTATAAGTAGGAGGCTACATGGAATTTAAGATTGTCACTCTTTCTTTTTACTCTAGATCATGTGTTAGAGCTCAATTGTAAGAATTCAAACTCCTAAATTCTATTTTATTCGTTATACAAGGATACATATATCCAGAAAGACAGTTGGTAAGAGATTGAATATGGTTGTGGAAGAGTTGAGTAAGAGGAACTCGATTTTTCATCATACTTATGATAAGTAAATATAAGGTCTTCAGCATATCATGTGTGTACTAAGACGTGTAAGCTTCTTGATAAGGAGTACTAAGGCATGGATATCTATCCACCCTTGTGGTAAAAAGCAATGAGAGAATAAGAAGGTAGATACAAGTTTCAACAAGTAAAAGAAGCAAGGTGAAGAAGGGTACGAAGTACCCAGTTAGTGAAGATTATCAGTTTTTACAATTCAGGCAGAGAAATATAAGCGTTTTGAGTTACTTAAACAGTAATAGAGATATATACAATTGACCATACCCATCTCAGTTATGCCCTATGAGAGCTAACAAATATAGTTTAAGAGAAGGATGGGATATCGGGATCCAGCTAGGGTTAGAGTAACCCAAAATTGTGGATGGATTGTTATAATTAACTCACATTTTTGAAGGATATTGCAAACATGGTAATAGTTCTCCTTGTGAGACACCCAGATGGTGCACTCTAGAATAGTACAGTTAGATATGAATACTAGAATGTTCAGAAATTTCAGAAGATAGGCAGTGGAATCCTAGAAGGGATAAATTTTTACATTAGTATGACTCCCTTCCCTAGAAAAAAAAAGAGAGAGAATGTCAGGCGACCCGAAGAGACAGTGGATAGAGCAAGGGGAGCTAAAAGAGAAAGAATATTTTGTTGAAGTTTTCAAAATAAAGTGATAGACATAAATATTAGCAGGAGAATAAGAAGAGAGTAAATGAAGTATTATGAGTAAAATGTGATAAATGGGGTGATAACGGTAAATCAAACTATGACAGGATTACAGAGTCTATAGTTAAGTGAAGGAAAATATAAGAGGTTACATGCCTTGAGACAATAAAAGAGTATAAGCCATAAATTCATATCCCCATTTCGAGAAATGAGTTGGTGACTCCAACGTGATTACCAGAAGAAAAAGTTAGACCCTCGGAGTAATAGAAATTAGTATGGGCTAGTGAACAAGAAATATGAAC